GTACAAGTGTGCTCCGGAGTAATTACTCACGCTACCCACCTCGGTCGGAGGGTAACGTCGGATCAAATCGAGTAAATGCGTCACGTGACCGGTTTGCTGTCTGTTCGTCGTCTGCATTCGGCGCCGATAGTCGTCAAAGCTCGTTTACTCCGTTGGCTTTGGTGGCAGACGTTCGAGATAACAAATAATGAGGTGGAGTAATTTATGTGTGGTTATTGTGATTTGCTGTTTTCAACGCAGGAATTGTGTGCGCACCACATCCAGTCCGTGCACGTTCCCCAGGAAGGTACACCTGTTGTTATTATCAGAGTGCGAGCGTGAACAGGAGCTTCTCCGGATGCTCGTCTTCGGCTATGGAGGGAACTCCGCATACTTACGTTCATGGCTGCAAACGTGCAAACCCAGTAGATTACGTTGGATTTTTTTCATTTTTTTAAATTTTCCTTTAGAATATCTCTTACAAAAAATTAATATCTGGCCAGATCTGAAGATTTCAGATATGGCCATATCAAAAATTGGCCACATGTAACCTGATATGGTATATCTGCCAGATATAGCCTGATACGCCTGGCTAGGTATGGAAATCCCAGATCTGACTAAGTAAGAAAATTCCAGATCTGGCCAGGCATATCTAAGGACGGAAGACTGAAATCATCACTTTATTTATTTTTTATTGTCTGCAATTCCCCCAAGTGCACGGTCCGCACTCGAGCAGTTATGGAAACGTAGATCCTTCAGCTCCCTAGTGTTCACTAGTTTTGACCAATTCCATGGTTACACAGTTTCGAGTGTAATTCGTAGTCACCCTGAACAAGCGTCCCATAGGACTCAAGGACCTGTAACATCACTTTTAACTTTTCTCGTCAATGGCAGTGTTAATGATACTGTTCATTCTGTTTGACCTTCAACCAGGCTGAGCCGCCAAAATCTCTTACCATATTATCATTCTCGTGATTGTTGTTTTAGCGGGAATTACTTAAAAGCCGAGAAATCACATGTGTATGGTGTATTATATCTGTATGGTGTATTGCATATGGATGTTGTTGCTCGCCGCATGCCAAGAGGGGGTTAAGGCCTCGTCAGGCACTTTGTGCCTTTAGCCTTAAACCCCCTCTGCGGAACATGTATCCGCAGACACAAATAAAGAAAAAAAAAGAAAAAAAACCAAAACCGGGATTTAGCTCGGATTCAGCGGAGCTGTTTACGACATTTTTTAGCGTTTCTAACTTAAGATCAGCGTCTTTGAAGCTGTATGAGACTGATAATAATGTAAGAGATATGTCTGCAGCTCATCCAGGTTGAAGGTTGGACGGAATGCACAGCACTGACGTTGGTAGGACATATTAAAAGTGGTATGACAGGTACTTGGGTTCTATACGACACTTGTTCAGGGTGACTCCGAATTACACTCAAATTTGTGTGACCATAGAATTGGTCGAAATTTGCAATCACTAGGCAGCTGAAGAAACACTGTCTCCATTCTTCCTCGAGTACGGGCCGAGGCGCTTGAGGAATTTAGCTAATTGTCTATTCGGGCGTAATATTAACACTTTGAAATAATTAAGCTATATTGAAATCCTCGTGAAAACTAGCACGAACAATCTCAAACTTAAGCTCGTCAGAGCTGATGTTTGGGATTATTCGTGCTAATATTTAACTCGCCAACAATGAGTCATTCACAGTTTGCTAACAAAGAAATTGTTTTAACTTTTTTCAACTTTTTAATATACTGAAAACCGGTCGCCAGATAAAGCTGTATATACGCCAGATAAGGCTGTATATACGCCAGATAAAGCTGTATACATGCCAGATAAGTCTGTATATACGTTAGATAAGTCCGTATATACGCCATATCAGGCTGTATATATGCCAGATAAGCTTGTATATACGCCTGATAAGGCTGTATATAGGCCGTATATAATCATATTATGTTTGATATGGACAGATATGGCCCAGATATAAGATTTTCACACGGGATATGTTTCATGACAGGACAACATGGTAAAGCAGTCAAAGGCTTCAGACATTTTATGTATTTGATCAAACAAACAACCCACCCCATCTCCCTCCGCACAAAAATTCTCTAGAGCGGTTTGGAAGTTCTCTGTCTGATCTCGTAATCATATTCGCGTCAAAGCGAATGTAAGTTACATATCACTGATGAAAAAGCCTCTTCGCTGTGCTACTACATCGTGTGGAAGCAATTTATGCGAAACGTGATTGGGGGCAAGTTACGATGCGTGGAACGTATGTGTTTAGGGCACCTGGACAAGATTTACAGCGACCGCGCTGACTAATAAAAAACTAATTTTTTATGTCTACCTGAAAGGAACAAGTAATTTTGATCTCAATATAGAGCCGAAAAGGGAGGTGAGCAAAAGGAGCGGGTGGAGCCAGATCAGAGAACACCGCGTCGACATTATTATTTTCGCCTCTACGAGTTCTTTCTCCGTGATCGAAAGGATCGTCTGCCATTATCTGCCATCGCTGCTGTGTTTTCTTTTTGCCGTAGCCCAAGACGAAGCCAATCCGCGTGGTATCCAGGTGATTATCCCGGCCGTTCCAAAATGGAGTCGCGGATCGTTTACTCGCGATGTCACGTGGTATTACTCGCTGACGTGGGGAGACAGGTTACTCGGGTAAGATTTGGAACATAGCCCAGATGACATCGCGAGTAAACGATCCGCGACTCGATTTTGGAACGACCTGGATAATCACCTGGGTACTACGTGTATTGGCTTTGTCATGAACTACGGCAAAAAGAAAACGCAGCAGCGCTGGCAGAAAATAGCAGACGATCCTTTCGATCATGGAGAACGCACTCGAGGAGACGAAAATATTAATGATGACGCTGTACTTTTTAAGGTGGCTCCCCCAACTCATTTTGCTCACCTTTCTTTATGGCTGTATATTAATTGAGATCAAAATTAGTTGTTCCTTTCAGGTAGACATCAAAAATTTGTTTTTCATAATCAGCGCGATCGCTGTAAATCTTGTCCATGGGGCCTAAACGAATACGTTCCAGGCATCGTAATTTGCAACGATTACGTTTTGCAGAAATTGCTTCCAGAGGGTGTATTGGCACAGCGCAGGGGGCTTTCTCAACAGTGATATGCAACTTACGTTCGCTTTGACGCGAATATGATTACAAAATAACAAAGAAAACTTCAAAAGTGCTATAGGCAAATTCTTGGGGAGGGAGATGGGGAGGGTGTTGACTCATCATGTACATAAAAATTCCGAAGCCTTCACTGCTTTACAAACATTATATCCTCTCATTACACACACTCCGAGGGAAACAAAAATACTTTTACATCATCTACAGCGTGCAAACATTTTCAGCTTCGAACTTGAGAATACGGAATTCCCTCAAACACCGAGGACGGGGATGCGGAGAAGCACCTGTTTACGCTCACACTCTGATAATAACAACAGGTATACCATCCCGGGAAAGGTGGTCGGTCTGGATGTGATGCAGTCAATTCCTGCGTTGAAAACAGCAAATGGAAATAACCACACATAAATGGCTGCACCCGATTCTTTGTCATTTCGAACGTCCGCCAACAAAGCCAACGAAGCAAGCGAGCTTTGATGGCCGTCGCCGCAGAAAACAGAGGACGAACAGATCACGTGACGTATTTACTCGATTTGATCCGACGTTACCCCCGATCGAGGAGGGCAGCGTGAGTAATTACTCCGGAGTAAGCAACCCGCTTCTGGAACGCGAGTTCTGACGTCATCGAGTAAGCTCGAGTAAGTTTTGAAACGCCACGGTGCGTAACCTTTACTCCGGAGTCGGATCGAGTAAATTTTGGAACACAGCCGTGGTATTACCCGCTGACGTAGGACACAGGTAACTCGGCTACGATTTGGAACATAGCCGGAGCAGGGGGGTAAAGACGGGAGCAGAACGCTGCAAATCCTGGGCGCCGATATCGGCGGTTCCGAGAGAAAGAACGAGAAAGGGAGTGAAAGAAGAGTGGAGCTAGAAAGCAGACGAAAGCTTAGGCGTGTTCGTTTCGCCGCGAGGAGGTGAAGTTGCCCGAGTGCTTGATAACTTCATCTACTTTTATATAGTGCATGATTCCGGTGTTATTCTGCGAACTAAGCTAGAAAAGAGCAAGATGCAGACCTTCCAGGTGATATGTTGATGGTCTTTTGTGCGTAATAAGGCGTCGTCAGCGAAATAGACTCATCGGGACCGCCAGCCGGGACCGCCGATGTCCGCGTTTATGCCTCTCCGTTCCCAAGCGGCCCCCATGCATCGGGCCATTGGATCTTTCCCTCTAGAATATTAACTCTATGCCAGCGTGCAGAAGACGTCGCCAAGGCCCAAGGGCCCTTGGCCGCCGCCTCTGCGGGGACACCCACGTAGCCGTTGAATCCTTAATGAAGTTTATTCTCTCTTTCTCCATGCTGCGGAGTGGCCAACTAGCACAGCTCGACGAGCTCGTCTACTTTTATATGTGAGAGTCGGTTTCCGTTCACCGAGCTGTTTAGAGAAAGAGATCCTGAGCTGACCTAGTTTGCAACAAAGAACTGTAGCATGTACGCGCCTTCGAAATCGCTCTGCGGGCGCTTGGAGCACTCAAGTTTTGCAGCGCACCTGGCCTGCGAAAACAAATATTCTTAGATCGCGTTTCATTTGTTCGGCATGACACTCACTCACTTTGCTCGCAATACACTGTAAAAAATGACCGTGAAATAAACAGTCACCTGACCGTGAACGTCACGGGGCGCCCACCGTAAAAAAAAATACGGTATGTTGACAATGTTTTTCGAGTGAAAAGGGTACGGCGACGGGAGGAAAGAAGTGGAACGAGAGAAGGCACGGCGACGGAAGGAAAGAAGCGGAACGCCCCAAGCGAGGCGCGCTACACACTTCGCACCACGCTCCAGACACACGCACGGCACGCAAGTGATGTGTTGGGGGCCTTCTGCGCCTGCGTCGTCGGGCTGCTCTCCAGCTCGCGGCTCGCGCCTTGACCCTCGCCCACAGCCCTCGCCATCGCGCTGCCTTGCTTTCGCACCTTCGCCACCTTCGCCGCCTTGTCTGCTTTCGCGCCGTTAGCGCCGTTCCCCCCGTCGGGTCGCCATCTTTTGTTTCCCGAAGGAAGAAAACAAAGCGAGGAAAGTTTGCGGTAGGGAGCACGACCGTGGCTACCAAGACGGCTGACGGCGCAGTACTCGAGGCGTTTGGCGGGCCCAATAGTAAACGAACATAACGTGAGTATCATTTTGAATATGAATGTGGCAAGCACGATCTGATTCTGAGAAAATTAATGCCCGTTGCCGGCAAGATCGAGAAAGAGCCGACACCGACAAACCGGCAACACGTGCGTTGACGGAGTGCATCGCTGGCCGGCTGTCGATCGTCGTTCGCGCTCCTTTTCGGGAAGGGAGCACAAGCGATTGAGAGCCAGCCAAAGATAGCTTCAGATTAATACTGCGCATTTTCGCGATTTGTCGGTCTTAACTCTTTTCTCGCTTTAGTGAGGCGACGGCTTGAACAACCATGTTTGTTTGCCGTGTTTGTTCAAAGGGGTCAACCACGTTGGTCGAATATGTGCGTCATTATGACAGCCACGAGTTCGGAGCGCGGCAGATTCCATGTATGCACGCAACTTGTTGTTTGCAGTTCACTACTTATGTAGGGCTCAGATGTCACATCTTACGGTTTCATAGAGGTCAACTGCGCGCGAGTGGACCTCGGCTCGATTTAACGGGTGACGTAAACTTAACATTCACGCTCCAAAGGAACAAGCAATACTAAAGCAATTGCACCCTACCAGTACAGAAATGATGTATTTAAATACTCTTTCTTTTGTCGGACTCTTATTTAGTGGAACACCCTGCCTGAGCAAGTTGTCAATTGTTGTAGTCCTCAATTATTTGAAGCACAGCTGAATGAATTGTTTGGTTAAATTTTGCATGTGGAAATGTTTATTTTTTGAGCATGCGTGGGTTGCTGCAACCTACCTGCGCTCGCCTCACACGGTGAGTGCATGATTGAGTTATTTCTGTGTGTTGTTTTTTCCCCTCCTGTGTAGAACGACAGGGCCACAGTATTTCAAACGAATAAATAAATAAGTTTCCAAATAAAAGCCAAAAGAAGTATGTCAAATCCTAGAACAATAAAAACCTAAAAACAGTGATATCTAAATATAAAGCAGGTCTCAGAGTTTAAATCAAATACAAATCATTTAAAGTGTTTCACATGTCTGTCAGACAATTCATGAAATCTACAATGGCTACCTATAGCCCATAGCGACAACACACATTTCCGAAGTTGCTAGAAGTGACAAATCATTTGATTTCTTTGCAGCCAATAGAAGTATGTGCTAGATGTAACAATACAGCGTGTATCCATGCGAATGCGGTGGTCCTGTGCAACTGGGGAGAGAGAGGGTCTTCGAGGTTCCTGTTCAGTTTTGGTGGCACATGTCTCCCCTCCACTAACCAGGGAACATTTGCCTAGGTGCCTTCACGGCCCATCCTCTCCCTTTCTGGAGTAGAATTCCGACTGGCCTACACTTAAACAAGCTCACTCATAGTGGAGGGAAGGCAAATCGAGCCAAGGATCTCATCTCCTGTCGGCAACAAGTAATGTTAGAAGTGTTTGAAATGTGGGGGGGAGACTGGCAGTGAGGGTGGGAGGGACGAAGCTGGGCCCCTTCCCTTTTCCCTTTTTGTTTTTACAATTAATTGAAATGTCCACGATCTGGAGGTGCAGCCCAGCCCCATTGTTTCAATGCCTTGTCAGCAACTCTACTTATCTGAATGTTTACTATTTTCTCATTTTTTAAACTTTTGTAGGGGATGATCTGTGGACTGCCCACGAGTACGCACTCAGCATTGATGGCAGGCTCATGGTTCAGAAGATACCAGACGTCCCTACGGCATAGGCTGCGCACTCTTTGCGAGTCACTATTGCTTTAACATCCGCTACGCTGAAGGCCTGTCATCGACCCTTGAGTTCCTTCAGAGTTAATTTCCTGTTTTGTGATTTTAGTATATGTATGTGGATGCCTAGTAGGACTCCATACTTTTTATCTATATCATTTCCACGCTTATTGTTCCTATTGAAATAAAGCAAACACCTTGCACATTTAGTGTCATAAAAGACATGGACCCACAGTTGGTACCAGGGCCGTACCCAGAAAGAAATTTCGGGGGGGGGGGGGGGGCGGGGGGGGGGGGGTTTCGGGGACAACGGCGGCCATTTTGAAAATGTCTATTGTCCTATTTTCGCCTATGAATCATGTACATCGGTGGCATATAATGGAGAGTTATAGCAAACCGGAGGACCGGTCCCGGTTTGGTACCCAGTAGCCGACCGGCGGCACTGCGCATGCGCAGAGGTGGAGATTAAAATTGGATGGCTGCAAGTGCACCGACCATGTACCAGCACTGTACCGGGGCTGGTCCTCCGCTTTGCTGAAAAGGTAATAAAAGGATACTTTCAAATCGCTTGTAACCTAAAGAAAAAAAACTGTCGGGAATTTAATTCCTGGTAATGGAAAGGAATAGAAGTTGGTGCATAACTTTTGCCGATTCACCTGGACGACCCTGTGTTTTATGAGAAGTCTCTAGTTGCCTTCGCCATGCCGCTACCACCAAGCCTAGAGGACCTCCGACCTACCACCGACTGCCAGCGAAATAATTTTTCACGTTCAGAGCAATCGCTCTCGTGAAGTTTTAAACCCCAGTTGCAATTCGTATCCATTCTATTCGTACTTAGGTTGAGGGCACAAACACGAAATCTGCGCATATCTTGAGTGCTTTGCGGGGTTTGGTACATCAGGGCCGTACCCAGAAAAAAAAATGTTGGGGGGGGGGGGGGGGGGGCAGAACTCCCTAACCCTCCCCCCTCCTTAGTTACGGCCCTGGTTGGTAGCTTCCTTCTCATTTGTTAAATAGACGAGCACATATCTCGCTGATTGGAGAGCTGTCCCAATTGTTTCCGCCAGCTCCAAACAACTATAGCTCCCACATCCTGCACCAATGCTGTACTTTTTATTGAAATTGCACCCGAGCAGAGTCCACAGATCGAGTGCATGCATTTCGCCGCAAGGCACTGCACATGCAAGATGGAGGCAGGTGAATAAAAACCCGTATCTGCTCTCGCAGTCAATCAAACATCTTCAATTGCATGTATGCATAGGCCAGTGGTCTTGGTGTTTCATCAGGCAGCTGGACTGGATTGTAATAACAAAGCTCAGAAATCAATTTTAGGGAAACATTTAAGCACAAAGCTAACACTGCCTCAACCTGGCTTGTAAAGGTGAAATAAACAAGAAAATAAAAAAAATAGAGCTTATCTTTCAAACTGATTTGCCCCTTCTGACCATTACATGTCATTTTATTGTGCCCATATACAACGAAACAACTCCAGCAATATTGCATATTTTGATATGCTCCCGCTTCTCACTGTAACGTTTTTGTATACAAGCTTAGTGTTTGGTCCCACCTGTTATAACTTGTGGGTCCTCAGGTTAGGAGAGCTGCAATAGGGAGGCATGAAGAGATGCATGCGGCTCACGAGCCGCAGTTTGGACCCACCTGATATTCTCTTTACTAAATATTTGACTTTCTTCTAGTCTCTCCCTTCGGTCATGTATACATATGTGACACATATGACTAAATTGACTAACTTTTCAGGTTACCAACTTGGATGAAATGTTTCTTTTATGGCACTGATGCTTATTGCAGAGGTTTCCTGAGCATGAACCCTGACCGTGGCACCAGAGCCAAGTGCTCCAAGTCAGAAGTGAGCAAGAGAGTACTTAACCTGGTCAAGAAAATAGCAGAGCTGGAGTGGAATGTGTGAGGCTGTAAGTATGATTCACTACAGTGTTCACTTAATAAATGGGAAGTGGACATGAGACTCATTTTGAAGAGAAGCAGAAGGTGAAACAATTCAATGAGCGTTAGAGTCCACTGTCACTAGAGAGGAAGAATAATTCTCAGAGATAGATAGATGCAGGGATACATTTACCACTAACGAAGGGTATCTGAAGGTTTTGTAACAGACCACTGTCTTAGCAAACTACAAGCCTTACCCACTGGTATAGTGTGTTTGTCTGCCAGTGATGGATTTACAAAAAAAAAAAAATGTTTTCACTTTGTTTTTTGCAAAAAAAGAAAAATTGAATCCGGCGCTTGATTAGTACTTCTCGTGAGTCGGCACCTTTATCAAATTATCTCTGCTGGATAGCAAAACAATGATATCACAGCTTATTTTAGAGCAAAATTTCCGGCTGTAGACAGGTACCTTGAAAGGTTAGTTCGTGAAATATTGAAAGCAATTTTGCAACTGTTACCCGTCTGGGAGGGGATGTGATGAGGCAGTTTACAATAATGGTTCTTCATTGATTCTGGCGAATGAGTGTATAATTTATGAAACGTTTGGGTAAAGTTGCATGAATTCTTTAATGCTGTGAAAAGGGGATGTCAGGTTTCAACAAATAATGTGTTTTGCCAGTCGAGTTTCGTGGCAAAGGCCAGTGACTAACACTCTGGACAGACTGACATGTCACACTGACAGATGCAAATAGTGAATAAATGGTGGTCACTTAGCCATGATCCATGGCATCTAGTCGCCATTGTTCCAAAATAATTTGATGGCCTAGTTAATAAACATAGAACACCAAACTAGTGCAAAAGACTCCTTAATTTTTATTTTTATTAGTTTATCACTTAAGACTTTTCCTTATTTATTTTTATTATCTTTTTGTGATATATTTTTTTTGTGATTTTTCTTTTTTCTTTATTGTATTTTTTTTTTCTTCCTGTTATATTAGCGTCAATGTTGTCTTTGTCTTCCTCTTTCCTCTCATAAAATGTCAGTTGTAAGTAGTGCTCTGTCCTGTCTCATTCTTTCTGTGTTCGTCTTTTGCGCTGATTTTGTGCATAATTGTTCGCGGAGTCCCACCCAGCTTGTCACCATTCTGGGAATAATGGGATCACATAACCATCATCTGTGTGTGGTCACCTGTCCATACTGCAAATAGTGAATCGTTCATAGTCAGACGGTCGCATAACCACACACAGCATGCATCTGAATGAGCCCAACACATTCTGACCTTTCATAGCTTTTGTGAGCATAATCAAGCTTGCCTAAATTTTTTCTTACATTGTTGTGATACTGCTCATGCCTACATTTCACCACACATTACTTCAGCCCATTATTATAGAAAGCAGTGAATAAGACCCTGCTTCATGGCTGGACCATCAGAGTGGGCTTGAGCAAATAATCAAAATTTATTGCTGCTCTGGGCAATATACTATTCAATTTTACTTTTGTAAAATTGATACTGTGCTTTCAAGTTTGGGAATTTTCGGCATTATGTGTGGTCTGTCCAATCTAGTTAGCCACCACTGTTGGGCGCACTCTTAACCATACACTTGTGCACCACAAAGAGGTGGTACCCACAGGTTTCACACTGATTCTGCATATCTCGTCTCGCTGTAGCAGAGGCTCATGCTTGGGAAGGAAAGTTGTCATTTAAACATATGGTCCACATGTCTTTGAATAGACAGGGAAGTTGAGAAATGATAATCTGAAAATTCTAAGTTGGTGTAAGATTTCAAAAACCAAGTTGTTTGCTAGTACAGGGTCTCCTAAAAAGTTCACGCACTAACATGGCCCACAAATTTGAACATGTATATTATTTAGTGCATGGATTAAATGATGGAGATGTTAGTATTGTTGATCACAGTGTGAACATATCAAGTAGTAATATTTCTTGAACGGATATATTACTAGTTAAATTTACATGTTAGAATAAACATAAAAATCTTTGTTAAATGCAATTGTTGTGAATAACTATATTACAGAATTTTTCCCCCTAAACTTGACACTAGTGGTAACACAAGGGTGGGAAAGGAAAGCAAGCATTGTCTTCTAGTTTTGACAGGCAAACAGATGTATCTTAATGTAGTATTCACAACAGAATGAATAGGAAGTGTGCTCTCGAAATCCAAAACTTACTTTTGTTGCTTGAAAATATATTTTTGGCTGGCCCAGAAGGTGCTCCGAAATTACTCTGACCGTTTACATCACATCAGCACTAGCTTGGAGTTACTTTCCTTGATTTTTTCAGTCTGTGGTTTTCTACTCATTCTGTTCTGTTTGAATATGTCTGTTGAAGGTCGGTCATCCTATGTGGGAACGAGGCATGCAACATGGAGCTCGAGCTCATTCAACACAAGGTCTTGGCACCAGGAAGATTTCAGCAGCCATAAGCAATGGCACTTGGGTCTAAATTTGGTGAGTATGATAATGATCGAGCACCCAGCTGCTTGTGTGAAAAAAAAAATGGGGGGGACACTTATGCTCGGCCTTAATGTATGACACGATAGCGGGAGGGCAGGGGGTGGAGGAGGAGAGGGGAGGTGGGGGCAAGGGCAGGGAGGGCAGCAGTGGGGAGGGGGAATCCTATGATCCCTTGCATGCACAAGGGATCGTGGCGCAAAACATCGAGGGGTTTTCTCGACATGCCGACGCTGGACGCTGGTTCTTTTGCTGCATTAACACTATTGGGTTGAAACATAACTTACCTAGCCTCACTTAACTCAAGCATAGCTTTACTACGCTGCCTATAATTACATGAAAAAATGTCTATGTGATGCTAGAAATGAGACATGATTAGCATGCAGTCATATATTTTAAGAGAAATGATGCCATTGCTGTGCATCATTTCATGCATCTTATAGTGCATCTTCTTATACATGGCAAATATAGGTCGATAAAATGAGAAGCATGTAAGTGGCAGCTGCATCACAAGCTGTCCATGTTTATTTTGGATATCATCTCAAATTGAAGTGCTGAGCACACTGCTTTAACCATTTGTTTATCTGAAGTGACACTAGGCACAGTGCACAGAGATTCTACTGCCAGCTAAGCCTGACGTTCGCAGCTCGCCCTGATGCAACCGGCCACGACTATTCATATCTCTTATGGTGTGAACATGTCAGAGAAAGATTAATGGTGCCTTTTCATTAGTGCACGGTGGCAAGAGAATTGCAGTCTCTGGGGGTGGGGAAAGACTAGTTCTACGTTAGTGCCAACAACAGTCAACCAGCTTAACTAGATGAAGAGGAGGAGTAAATTTCTATGTGTGCTGCTTAATTAATGTCACCCCCTGATTTTGAAACAAACTCACTCAGCTCTTAAGTTGACAAATGTCTGTCTAGTAAGTGAATAGTAGGCTTTCCCATAAAATAGCTGTATTTTTGTGCAGCATTCTCTGCCAAACTTTGTGCATATCCTCTCATTCATTTGCCCAGGTATATAGGGGCTGTGCTGGGATACTGATATGGTATTCGAGAAAACCAGAATACATGTACTACATGGCTAATATATAGCTACTGAGATATAATGAAGTTTGACTTGATTAGGAGAAGCTAAGCTAGAGGATGGGGGGTTCAGTTGTCACATAAAGCTTCTTTCAAACATTGTAAGCAATATCAGCATCATTAGTTTCTTTGCACAGTGAATAAAGCGTGGCTAACATTATACAACATATCTGTTAAATTGCTTCTATTTTGGCACATTTATATATGTTATATTGATGACTGGTTTCTTTCTTTTCCAGATCAGAGGGTATATGGACCTGGGTCCTCATCATCCAAGTAAATAAATGTTCTGTTTTTATTTCTATCCTACACATAATTTATTGTGTGTTCTGGCTTAATTGCATTTGCATGTACATACACAACGATCGCATTGCAGACATGAAGACCACGCTACAATTACAATAAACAGCATGCCACGTATATTACAGGCACAAAATGGCTAACCTAAGGAGACTTCATGACCCATTGTTTGATTCACTGTCTGTTGACCAGTAGTAGGAAGTAAATCGAAGCAGCAAAACATGTGCGGTGAAATGCTAAGCATGTCGCACAATGCGGTGGGAAGATGATAGAATTCGACAATGCTTACTTATGTCGAATTTTGCATACTTTCTGACGTGTTGTACGAAGTGCTAGCGCTTCATTGTGCCAGCATTTTGTACCTTCAATTTACTTCTTACGATGGCCAACTGGCAGTGAATTAAACGGTCAACATTTTTACGGTGACCATTAAATTAGCAGTCAGTTGACCGGCAAATAAACTGCCACCATGCCGTGATCTTAGCGGCAGTCAGTAAATCTCGTTTACGGTCTGTTCAGCATCGCCCCGTAAAATTAACGGTATCTTTTTTTACTGTGACCGTTTAATTTACTGGGAGATTACGGTTAGGCAGTAAATTTGAATTTACGGTCTGCCGTATAAATTACGAGAAGTTGCTGGCAGCCAGAATGCCAGTCAACTTACCGTAATTTTGACGGCCCATTTTTTACAGTGTAGCAATGCGAAAAAAAAATGTTTTTTTTTTCAAGAACAGGGTAGTTGCAATGACTGCATAATTATTTTGTTACTTTCTTTTATTCCTCTTGATCGATTTTTACCTTACGTTGACAGACGCTAACAGACGCTTGTATTTTGCCGTAGCTCCTGCATGAGGGAACGCTAGAACGCCGCTTTCGTGATCACGTCTTGCGAGCGTTGCAGAAGTTTTCGACGGGGCGGAATAGGCAGCGGACGGAGGCGAAAACGGATGCTGAAGCGCCGCTCTCATGTCCGCATCTCAGGGGCATTGCAGACGATAACAGTCGGTAGTGCAATAGCAGACAATGCCGGAGGGTGCCGTGCGTCTGCTCGCACGACTGGCAAGCGGTGTCAGACGCCGGACTAGACACATCGGATGTTGCAAAAGAGGCTTCCGAGCGTGTTCGACCGAGCAGACAAGTCAATCGAGTAGTAATGGGTGGGGCCACTGGTATGTGGGCAGTCCTTAGAGTGGGCCGTGACCTCCACCTAAATTGTATTTATCGCCGTAAATATTGCGCAAGAAGACTTTTTTCCGTGAAAAAACTACCAAATACGTACCTGTCCCATATGTTTTCTTAAAAAAACATCTTTCACCTTTTAGAGCGCAGCTCTTAGGGGCCCGTTCCCGGCTTGAGCGGCGTCGCCGTCGGCGTCGGCGTCACCGTCGCCGTCGGCGTCGGCGTAACCGCAACCCTCGTAACCCTCGTGAGGGTTACGAGGGTTAATCTCATGAGGGTTACCCTCACGAGGATCACGAGGGCCACGAGGGTTACTTACCCTCGTAACCCTCACGAGGGTTACGAGGGTTAGTTACCCTCAAAAGGGTTACCTTCACGAGGGTTACCCTCACGAGGGTTACTTACCCTTGTAACCCTCACGAGGGTTACGAGGGTTAGTAACCCTCGTGAGGGTAACCCTCGTGAAGGTAACCCTTTTGAGGGTTACGAGGGTTAGTAACCCTCGTGAGGGTAACCTTCACGAGGGTTACCCTCACGAGGGTCACGAGGGTTATGAGAGTTACCCTCACGAGGGTTACTCACCCTCGTAACCCTCACGAGGGTTACGAGGGTTAGTTACCCTCACGAGGGTCACGAGGGTTATGAGAGTTACCCTTACGAGGGTCACGAGAGTTACCCTCACGAGGGTCACGAGAGTTGCCCTCACAAGGGTTACTAGGGTTACCCTCACGAGGGTCACGATGGTTACCCAGGTCGTGACCCCCCCTGGGGTCACGTGACCTGGGGATACCCCCCGAGGTCACGTGACCCCCCGTTGACGTCATAGGCACTGATGACGTCGTCAGTGACGTCACTGATGACGTCACCGGCATCCGCATCGTCATCGTCATCATCACTGATGACGTCATTAGTGACGTCACTGATGACGTCATTAGTGACGTCACTGATGACGTCACCGGCATCCGCATCGTCATCATCATCACTGATGGCGTCATCAGTGACGATACTGATGACGTCATCGGTATCGTCACGTGGCCCCAGGTCACGTGACCCCCCGACGTCACGTGACGCCCCAAGGTCACGTGACTCCCACAAGGTCACGTGACCCACAAGGTCACGTGACCCCCCCGCCCCCCGAGGTCACTTGACCCACCCCCCAGTACCCTTCCCTCCTCCTCCTCAAGAGCTGCGCTCTAATTCGGCGTTACAGGGAGTTGTAAACGGCTTTCATTTTTTTTTTGTTTATTTAAGGGCATTTCATCGGTGGTGATAGAATGGGTTCTAATATCAGACGACGACGTACTGTGCCACGCGTCTGCTGGTACGACTAGCTGATGGTGTAGGCGGCAGACTACAACGCATCGAATATGTCTCGACAGGGATACATTAGGAAATAAGGGTGGTGCAGGCTATATTGACACTAATGACAATTGATGAGGCGACAAATAACTGAAGGAAACTAAACGTTGAATGGGGCGAACTTGTGCCCCCAACAAAATAGAAGAAGGCTAGCGTCGTAGGTGTGGATGGCGGCGTAACAGCAGGATCATGCGCTGGAGTGAGATTGACTGAGGCTCGCCACGGCCGAGCCCGCTATGTGCACGCTTGGGGTTCTACAACAATCGGCGTAGAAGGCTTGGAGCGTAGAATATTCGAACCTCGAACAAGCAAGAGGCTTCGCGATTTTACCAGAAGGCGACATTTACAGAAACAACAACAAAAGTGTACATCCGCGGTCAGGCATCGAACCTCGATCCTTTGCTAAGGAGCGAAGCACGATAACCATTCGGCCACAGACGCGCATGCCTAAAGACGCGTGTGGCAATATTAACACACATTAGGCTTGCGGGCATGTTGAACCGAGCAGCCAAGTCAATCCAGTGGTAATCAAAGGGGCTACCCAACGAGGTAGAGGGGCTTAGAGTGATAAACCGGAACTTCGGAAGTGGCACCCCCCCCAACCCCCCCCCCCCCGGGTTGCCGCCATGTTGTACGTAAAAGTGACCTCTCGTCACGTGACCTCACAAGAACTGTGACGTCATCGGTAAGATGGCAGCGCCCAGAGCTGGCGGATGCGAGTTTGTTGGGTGTGCGGTAGCCGTGATGTGCAGCTGCTTTCCGACGGCATCGGGCTTCTTCGTGCTCGCTGACGCAGGTATAATGAAAAAATATGAAGGAATGAGACTCTGTACCCTTTTCGCGCAAGATCGCTCTGGATCATCTGGATATTAACGCCAGTGTGACAGCATCAGCCGTATCGCCGTAACGGTGCTCGGATTCCCGGACGTGTTCGAGAATCGATAGAACTTCGAGTGCTTTTAGCGTGAAATTTTTGCATTCTATTAAATTTGTTTGAACGTTGGAATGTCTGAGAATCGATGCGAAACGTTTTGCGTCAGACGTAGGGCCTAGGGGAATTTGTTTCAGCCCGAGGTAACTGCGTAATCACAGGAACTTTTAGCAAAGAAGCTCCTGCGAGCTTTGCGTTTTGTACTTATCAACAATTTTACGATAGAACTTCCAGCATAAACTATTCATATTTTTCCAGCTTCGTTTGAGCGTTGGAACGTCTGAGGATCGAAGCGAAAGGTATGCGTCGTGTTAGGGCCTAGGGTAAGTTGTTTCAGCCCTGCCATAACCATAGCAACTTTTAGCGAGGAAGCTCCGGCGATCTTTAACCTTTTGTGCTAATCGACGATTCTACATTCGATCGCAATACTTTTTCGAAGTGAAAAGCTGGCATTTGCTTAATAGATGTGCATGCGAACTCTTATAAAGCATTCGAACCAATCATTCGGAAAAAAGTTCATTACCTATGTTCATAAAACAGTTTATTTGTCCCCTTGGAACTCAGAACACAGCAAGTCTTCATAATCTTGATTGAACTGTGCACGAAACGTTGCATCCGATGCCCCTTAGAAACTAGTATCAGTAGGCTGTTTCCTGTATGGAAAGCTTATATTTGGGGCATATCTCGCCATATCAAACATTATATAATTATATACAGCCTATATACACGCTTTTCTGGAGTATATACAGTCTTATCTGGCGTATATACAGCCTTATCTGGTGTATATACAGCCTTATCTGGCATATATAAAGCCTTATCTGGAATACATACAGCATAATCTGGCGTATATACAGATTTATCTGGGATATATGCAGCCCTATTTGAGGTATATCCTTCGTCGTCTGGCGTATATACGGCTTCATCTGGCGGCCGGTTTTCAATATATAAAAAGTTAATGAAACAGGTAAGAAAAGTGTTTTATTAGCAAACTGTGAATGACTCATCGTTCGCGAGCTTAATATTAGCACAAATAATCCCAAACTTCAGCTTTGGTAAGCTTAAGTTTGGGATCATTTGTGCTAATTTTCACGAGGATTTCAATGTAGCTTAATTATTTCGAAGTATTAACATTACGCCCGAATAGACAATTTGCTAAATCCTCCCAGCGCCTCGGCCCGTACTCGAGGAATCATGAAGACGGTATTCGTTCAGCTGCCTAGTGATCGGAGATTTCGACCAATTCTATGGTTACACAGTTTTGAGTGTAACTCGGAGTCACCCTGAACAAGTGTCGTATATAACCAAAGTACCTGTCAAGTCACTTTTAAAATTTCTCGCCAATGTCAGTACTGGGCATTCTGTCCAACCTTCAACCTGGATGGGCTGCAGACATCTCTTACATTGTTATCGTTCTCGTAGAGCTTCAAAGACACTGTTAGAAACGATAAAAATGCTATAAACAGCTCCGCTCAGTCCGAGCTAAATCCCGGTTTTGGTCGTGGTGATTTCTCGGCTTTTAAGTAATTCCTACTAAAAAAAACA